TTAACTCGAATTTTAGAAGGATAACCTAACCTTGTTGATATTCATAACAAGTTTAATGTGACTTACTTAGTTCCTAACTTGGTTCCTAGATAATTTATAAAAGAAATATTTCAAAAACCAAGTGTTCTAATAGTTTACATTTAAATTATATTTGAGAGTTTTGAAGGTCGTGAGCTACTTTAAAGTTTTTCTTTAATAATAACCTCAGTGAAGAAAGAGGGCTGGTCACAAGTAGCAAGGGTCTCACGTGACATTTTAATTCACATCACCCAAGGAACAATAAGAATTCATACGTGCGGATGTATAATCAAGGAAACTGATAAAATGACTTGTAGATGTCGAACATTCTATTTATCCGAATGAGTGAAATATCAAAATAATAGAATCATGAAAATAATTCAGCTGATATCCCAATGCCTTTCACTGAAGGTCTTTCTAGCAAGAGAATAGCAAAATATCACATTCGGCGTTTTAGGAATTTCCGAGGAGTGGTGCTAAAATGAGGTACGTAGCTTTGCCTTAACATACCTTTTCAATGAACGCTCGAATGGCCGTAGCTTCTTCACGAAAGCTGTTCCTTACGTCCTAAAATTCGCAAACGCTATATATACACAGCTGGTACACACCTATAAACAGTTCATAATTGTTCTTAAATCGGCAGATTTGCCAAATGACCTCAACTTGACGAAATGTCCCTAGAACTTCATAAAAACAATCATAAAAGATTCCCAAGATGATTACCTTAGTTAACCAAGTGTAAACCTTGAAGAAACACCAATAACTACAAATTTATATCTTCAAAAATTTGCTCCAAATGCATCTAATAGAAGGGGAAAACGATTACCACGTGTAAAGATCACGTTTCTAGGCACGGGGGCAATCTTTAATGGTAGAAATCGTCGAAAACTGACCTTCATCATGCAAGTACTCCATAGGAACCTTCTCTTAAGCTTTCTTTCTGGTTTGGAAGTAAAATGAAATGTTTTCATGGCTTAAAACGTTGAGTAAGCCGACATACCACATTTTTTTTACCCGACCCGGATTCTGCCCCGGCAGTTCGTAGTAAAACCCTCATAACTCTTTCCTCCGATGTCGGTTGGATACAGGGTTTTATGCGTTGCAAACTAGACTCGTAGGCCTTCGATTTAATGGGAAATAGGACTTCTAACTATTTGTATATTGGGAGAAAACATTCAAGACATTTGACCCAAAGTTAAGAAAATATTATTAGAGAAACTTCGATAACTTTTGCCGACTTTAGTTTCACTAATTTTCTTGACTTCCAAACTTAACATACGACCCTTGTGCTATGATAATACCTCATAACACACTATTCTTAGCATGTTTTACATTCATAGGCCTATCCACAAGGTATGGGACAAGTTAACCCTTTCAAACGGGCAAAGTTCTACCCGAGCCATTTCTTTTATCATGAACTTTGTTTGAGGGGTCCCTTTGACCTAAAACTTTAGTTTAGTTCCTTGATATTTCCACCGACTTGCAATAGTAATATCCAATGTACGATACAAAGTCATATACACCTCATATAACAATGCCATACTACGCCATATATGCACGATTAGAGAAAAAGTACGGGATCTTACATCTATGAAGCCATGCATATAGAGTTCTAGTTGTTGGTGTGAAGCGCGCCACATCTATAATTTGGAGGCTGCAACATTTAGGAACTATCTCACCTATTTCATACTCATTTTGTGCGATTGAGTTTATCTCTATGAATGTTTCTCTCTAACTCGTGCTTGTGCATATCTTTCAGATCATGCCTCCACGAAGAGTTGTTCGAGGTCATCATACTAGAAGGAATGTTGAGGATCAAGGGGTACCTAATGCACCAGAAGTGCATCCCAAAGGAGAGGTCACTAATGATGAGTTTCGGGAAGCTATCCGGATGTTGAGCCAAGTTGTGACCAACCAAGTTGGGAAACAAAGAGAATCGACAAGAAGTGGTTGATACTTCTAAGATCTGTGAGTTCTTAAGGATGAATCCTCCAAGCTTTACTGGTTCAAACATCACTGAGGATCTGGAAAACTTTGTAGAGGAATTGCAGAAAGTGTTTGAGGTTATTCATGTTGTTGATGCTGAGCGAGTGGAACTAGCTGCATACCAACTTAAGGGTGTTGCTAGAATCTGGTTTGACCAATGGAAGAAGGGTAGAGCCGAGGGTGCACTGATTGTGAGTTGGGCTATGTTCGACAGTGCCTTCATGGGGAGTTTCTTTCAACGTGAACTAAGAGAGGCCAATGTAAGAGAATCGCTCACTCTTAAGCAGGAATCTATGAGCGTACAAGAGTATAGCCTTAAGTTCACCCAACTGTCACGTTATGCTCCGGAGATGGTTGTTGTAACACCTCAAAAACTAGACCTAGAAAAAAATTGCAGAAACATACCTGGTGAACCACGGTAGGGTTCACGGACTGTGATATGGTCCACAGTCTGTTGACCTGCCCATGGACATGACTTGGATGGCACCAAGCCTAGACGTCAGACCACGGGACCCCTCACGGACCGTGGTCTAGATGACGGGCCGTGGTCGCCCTCGTGAAGTCTAGCCAGTATACCCCTAGCCAGTCCCTTAGAACCCCACACCTAAGTGAAGACCATGAGGACCTTCACAATCCGTAGTCCTCCACACGGGCCGTGGAAGGGTCCGTGAAGGCTATTCAGTAGGCGTCCAGACCTCAGCCCAAGTGAGGACCACGGGGACCTTCACGATCTCTGGTCCTCCACACGGGCCATAGTAGGGGATCATGGACATGACCCCCTCGACCAGCAACTACTGGACCAAGACCACGACTAGCTCCACGGTCCGTGGTCCCTTTCACAGTCTGTGAGAGTGGCCGCGGTTATCCCCGCCAGGTTTTTAAGTAGGGTCAATTTGGTCTTTTCCCCATTCGTTGGACACCTAAACTACGTCGTTTTAACCCTAAACTACATGGTTTTGGTTAGTTTTAGCCTAGAAACATAACTAGAACTTACCTAAGTCAAATCTTTCATCAAAACTTAGAAACTTAGAGCGTAGAGAGAAGAAAGAGGCCACCAAACCCTAGTTCAAGAACGCAACAAGGTTCCATCAATTCTAGCCCCTAAATCGAAAGATTTCTCCATGGAATTCATCACCAGGTATGTGGGATTTAACTAGTGGGATCCTTTCACCCATTAGGTCCCTAGATTTCAGTCAGAATCTTGATTCCCTTCACATTATCTAGACCTAGGGTTTCTTGAATGTTAGAATCGTTGGGTTTTCAGCTAATAGAATTATCCAAATCATATTATATCGTTATAGTATTGTTTTGCACAGATTCATGCAAAAAATCAGAACCCTAGCTATGTAGTTCTTTTATTTCATGAATTATACAAGCTAGGTCAGTAAATTCAGATATCATAAACAAGCCTCAGATTTCTAATGCATTATTGTCAGTATATTAATGTTGCATTCAGTTTGCATGTCAATTTGGAGCTATCCAGTGTTACAGTATTTCAGTCATAAAATGTTAATTACTTAATCATATGGGAAGCTTAATACCGAGTGGACTAGAGTCAGTCACCCTCATGTCCCAGAACTACGTGCCCCA